GAGGCAAAGAAACATGTCACAAAGGAAAGAACAGAAGAAATCTCTAGAAGAGGAACTAAATGAAATAGATCCAAGCAAGCTAACAGATACAGAGTTCAGAATTTTGGTTATAAGGATGCTCAACGATATTAGGAAGAGTATGACGAAAATAATGAGAAGATCGATCACATAATAAAGTACCTATTTGAAATGAAGGCTACACGAACTGAAATGAAGAATAATTTACAGGGAATCAACAGTAGAGTAGAGGACGCTGAGAATCAAATCAGCAATTTGAAACATGAGGAAACAAAAAACACCCAACCAGAAGAGCAAAAAGAAAAAAGAATCCAGAAATATGAAGATAGCATAAGGAGCCTCTGGGACAACTTCAAGAGGCCCAAAATTCGTATTATTGGGGTGCCAGAAAGAGAGGAAAGAGACCAAGAAATTGAAAACCTATTTGGAAAAATACTGACAGAAAACGTCCCCTACCTGGGGAAAGAAAGAGACTTACAAGTCCAGAAGCACAGAGGGTCCCAAACAAGAGGAACCCAAAGAGGCCCACAGCAAGACACATCATAATTAAAATGCCAAAGGTTAAAGACAAAGAGAGAATCTTAAAAGGAGCAAGAGAAAAGCAATTAATTACATATAAGGGAGCACCCATACGACTGTCAGCTGATTTCTCAACAGGAACCTTGCAAGCCAGAAGGGAGTGGCAAGAAATATTCAAAGTGATGAAAAACATGGAACTACAACCAAGATTACTCTACCTAAAAATGCTATTACTTAGAATTGAATGTCAGATAAAGAGCTCAGACAAGGAAAAGCCAAAGGAGTTCCTCACCACCAAACCAGCACTACAGGAAATGTTGAAGGGTCTTCTTTAACAAGAAGCTAATGAACAAAAGAATCTGATGAACTAAATATATCCAGAGACACTGACACATGTAACAGACGATCATATTTCAGACGGAAGGGGGATGGAGAAGGAAGAGATTAACCAAAGAAGTTATATGCATATATGCATAACCCATGGACACAGTCAATAACGGGGTGAAGGCCTGGGGAGTGGGTGGGAGCGAGGTGGAGGNTAACCCATGGACACAATGACAGGGTGAAGGCCTGGGGAGGGGGTGGGAACGAGATGGAGGGGGTCAATTGGGGGGAAAAATATGGGACACCTGTAATACTTTCAACAATAAAGATAAATTAAAAAAAAAAAAATTTCTGACTTAAAATAAATTCTGGAGTACTCTTGGGAAGTCATACCAGAGAATAAAAACTTACACTTGCATAAAAATCTCTGTGTAAATGTTCACAGTTGCTTTATTCATCATAGCCGAAGACTGTAAACAGCCTGGATGTCCTTCAACAGGTGAATAGTTAAACAAACTGAGGTGTATCTATATGCCATGCAATGCTACTTAGCAATAAAAAGGAATGAACTATCAGTACATTCAACAACTTGAATGAATCTCCAGGAAGTTATACCAAGTTAAAAAAGCCAATCCCAAAAGGTTATATATTGTATGGTTATATTTACATAACATTCTTGAAATGAATGTTTCAAGAATTGGAATGTTTTAGAATTGGAAAGCAGATTAGGGGTTGCCAGGGCTTAGGGATGGGGACAGAGGGAGAACTCTGGATGTGGTTATGAAAGGGCAACAAAAGGCATCTTTGTGATGAAACTGTGTTAGTATCTTGATGTGGTGATGGGAATACCAATCTACACATGTGACAAAATAATATAGAACACAAAAAAAGTACAAGAAAAACTGAGGGCATCTGAATAAGATCTGTAGATTGTCAATATCAATGTCAGTATCATGGTTGTGATACTGTACTATAACTTTGTAAAATGTTAACATGGGGGAAAACTGTGTAAAGAGTACATCTGTGTAAACAGTAATCTCTGTATTATTTCTTACAACTTAACTGCGTGTGATCATGCAGATCCATGTATATCGTATGCTACCTTTGGAGTAAAAATAAAATAGTATTTATCTGTATTTACATAGAAACACTAAAAGGACACTGAAAGTAATTATCTTTAGGGTGGGGAGAAGTGGGGTAGATGCAGTAGGAACAAGACTTGGATGCATGAATTTTCACAGTATTTTTTCTTTTTGAACCATGTGATCATATTACCTGGTCAAAAATAAGTTAAATATTAAAACTATCTTTTGTACAAAAAGGACCTTAGTTTAGTAAGCATTATATTGCTTTGGAAAGTACTCCAATTTCAATTATCCTTACCTCTAACCTCTGTGTCTGATCCTTGCCCAAAAGGTCACGAACTTCTTCATTATATATTTCCAAATAAGACACTCGAACCAAAAATCTATAAATAAAACATCACTTTTAAAAACATAAAACAGTGAAATATTTATAAGAACAGTTTTAAAATGTGTTTATAAAATTTGTACTTATATATGCCTTTCTTATGTTTGTACTTCTAAATATTAGAAAATAAAAGATTTTACCTTGTATCACCCTCTGCTTTTGCAATATGACCAAATATGTGAGCAAATGAATTTGGAATGATTCCTCTAAGTTCAGGAACAGCTCGAACGCCTTCCATGGTAAAAGTTTTGCCTGTTCCAGTTTGTCCATATGCAAAAATAGTCCCTGAAAATGAAGAGAATCAATTTCTTTTTAGAGTCCAATGCTACAAAACAATAGCTCTTAAAATTAATTCCTTTGACTCTGTGATGCAATTTCTTCCCTGAATTCTACTACAAATTTCACCTTTATTATCAACAATTACAATATGTACTCTGTGCCACATGAGCAAAGCACTATTAAAGTACTAGAGTTAATGGGGTATTCCTAAAGACCTCAGTGTGAATCACATATCTGCCACTTTTTATCCATTTGACCTTAAACATGTTTCTACCCAAAGATTGTCTCCTCAAAGGTAAAATGGGAATAAAAATTTAACTACTCAGAACCAAATGACACACTTTACTTCATGAGACCAACACGATGCCTGGTAGAATACAAGTGAACAGTAGCTGTCTTCTTCATAATCCTAAAGTAACTACATCCCAGAACAAAGCTCAGAAATATTTATAGGAATGAAAAAGTATCCAAGACACAAAGTAAAATTCACACTGTCTGGAATCCAACAAAAAACTGCCACGCTTGCAAAAAAGCAGAAAATATGACTCATTATGAAGAAATCAATCAACCAATCAAAACGAACTCGGAACTGACATAAATGTTAGAATTAGCAGACAAGGACATTAAGACAGTTATAAAAACTGTATTCTATATGTTAAAAAGTTCAGTGGAAACTCTGGAAGTTTAGAGGAACTTGGCTAGAAGATATAACAAAAACCAAAATCAAACTTCTAGAGATGAAAACTACAAAGCGTGAGATGAAAAATACAATAGACGGGGTTAATGGTAGAATAGACATTGCAGAAGAAAAGATCACAAAGAAAACATACAAAAAAACATCAAAAATGAAACAGAGCCCGACTGGGCATGGCTCAGCAGTTGAGCATTGACCTAGGACCCAGGAGATCGGGGTTCGATTCCCGGTCAGGGCACACGCCCCGGTTTTGGGCTCGATTCCCAGTCAGGGGCGTGCAGGAGGCAGCTGATCAATGACAACTCTCTCATCATTGATGTTTCTATCTCTCTCTCTCTTCTCTCTCCCTCTCCCTTCCTGTCTCTGAAATCAATAAAGATATACTAAAAAAAAAAAGAAACAGAAAATTTTTTTTTAAAAATCAATGAGCTGTGGGACAATTTCAAGTAGTCTAATATATACATTGATGTAGTCCCCCAAAAAGTAGAGAGAGGGGACAGAAAAAATATTTTAAGAAATANGAAAATTTTTTTTAAAAAATCAATGAGCTGTGGGACAATTTCAAGTAGTCTAATATATACATTGATGTAATCCCCCAAAAAGTAGAGAGAGGGGACAGAAAAAATATTTTAAGAAATAATACCTGAAATTNGATGTAGTCCCCCAAAAAGTAGAGAGAGGGGACAGAAAAAATATTTTAAGAAATAATACCTGAAATTTCTCCAAACTTGATGAAAACTACAAACACACAGACCCAAGAAGCTTAATGAACTGTAAGCACAGAAACATGAAGAAAAACACACCAACGCACATGATAATCAAATTGCTCAACACCAGTGATAAAGAAAAAAAGTCAAAAGCAACCAAAAGTATTAAAAGAAAAAACTATGAACCTAGAATCCTATACTCAGTGAAAACAGTTTCAAAAACAAGGCAATATGAATACTTTTTTAGACTATAAACTCTGGAAGAATTCGTCACCAGAAGACCACCCACTCTAAGAAATGTTAAAGGAAGTTTTGCACTACAGAAGAAAAATGATACTAGATGGAAATATGAATCCACATAAAGCAATGAAGTACCAGAAATGGTCACTACATGGGTAAATAAGTATATGAGATTTTCTTATTATTATTTAAATCTCTTTAAAAGGTAACTGATGATTTAAACAAATATAGTAACAATGTGGTTTGGAGTTTATAATATGGAGAAGTAAAATATGTGGCAATAAGAGCACAGAGCGTGGGAGGACAGAATGGAAGTACAGTGTGAAATATCTATACTATACATAAAGTTGTAGATCATCTGAAGGTAAAATGTGATATATTAAAGATTTAAACTATAACCTTAAATCAACCACCAAAATAAAACAAAGATGTACTTCTATGAGCCAACAGGGAAGAAAGAATGGAATAATAAAAATACTTGATTAATCCAAAAGAAGGCATAAAAAGAGTAAAAGGAGAACAAAGAACAAAGGGGACAAAAAAAGATGACAGATTTACACTGACCCATATAATCACATTAAACGTATCTATTAAAGAAAACGAACCTATAGTTAAAAACCTTTCCACAAATAAAATGAAACAAAAAACTCCAGGCCACTTTACTTCACTGGTGAATTCTTAGGGAAGATATAATACTAATTCTAGACAAAACTTTCCAGATAATTAAAAAGAGGGGGATATTTCCCAACTCATTCTATGAAACTAGTACTATCCTGATAACAAAACCATAAAGACATTACAAGAAAACTATATATTTATGTCCCTCACAAACAGAGATGCAAAAAGTTTAAACAAAATTTTAGCGAATCAAATCTAACAACATACAAAAGGATAATACACAATGACCAAGTGGCATGGCTGGTTTCATATTTAAAAATCAATCAATGCAATTGACCATATTAACAAACTTTAAAAAACAAAATTTTAATAGATGCAGAAAAAACTGCATTTGACAAAAATTTGACATTTCTGAAAAAACTCTCAGCAAACTAAGAACAGAGTGAAACATCCTCAATCTGATAAAGGATGTCTATGAAAAATCTACAGATAACATCATACTTACTGGTAAAACAGTAAATGCTTTCTCCCTAAGATCAGGAATAATACAGAAATGTCCACTATCACCACTTCTATGCAACATTGTACTGGAGGTTCTAGCCATTGCAATTCAGGTAACAGAAAGAAATTATGCAACTACGGTATAATTCAGGTAACAAAAGAATAGGAAAGAAATAAATTAGTTGAACTATCTTTATTTGCAGACAACATGCTCTTGTGTCTGTAGAAAATCCTAAGGAATTTACCAATAAGAAGAAGAATAATAATAGCCTACTAGAAATAATAAGCAAGTTTAGTAAGGTTGCAGGATACAACAGTTTTTCAAAAATCAACTGCAAAATACAATGAGATACCACTTAGGATGGCTATAATAAAAAAGACAATACGTTTTGGCAAAGATAAGGAGAAATTAGGAACCTCATACATTGCTGGTGGGAATATAAAAATGGTGCAGCCACTGTGGAAAAGTCTGGCATTTAACCTTTTGACCCAGCAATTCCACTCCCAGGTAGTATATACATAAGAGAACTGAAAATATGTTCACACAAAACCTTGTACAAGAATGTTCACAGTAACATTATTAATAATAGCCAAAAAATGGAAATAATTGTTCAACTGATAAATGAATAAATGAAATATACTATACCCATACAATGGAATGTTATTTTGCCATGAAAAAGAATGAAGTACTGATATATACAAGGATGAACACTGAAAACATGTTAAGTAGCCAGACACAAAAGACTATATAGTATATGATTCTATTTATATGAAATGCCCAGAACAGACAAACTCATACACACAGAAAGTAAGTAAGTAGTTGCCAGAGTAGGAGAGAGCAGAATTGTATATAACTACTAATACGGGTACAAAGTTTCTTTTGGGGGTGAAAGAAATGTTCTAGAAACAGATAATGGTAATAGTTGCATAACACTATGAATGTACTAAAACCCTGACTTGTACACTATAATTTCATTTTGAAATTATAAGAACAGTTCTATTCACAAAAGCATCAAAAATACTTAAAAATAAATTTATGAAAATTAGTACAAAATCTGTACAACAAAACCATAAAAATACTGATGTGAGAAACTAAATAAAACATAATAAGTGTGTAGACAGATATATCATGTTCCCAGGCTGGAAGACCAACATTGTCAGAATAACAATTAAAGTCCCAGGTTATTTTGGTGGAAATTGACATGGTGATCCTAAAATTTATATGAAAATGCAAAGGACCCCAGAAAAGCCAAAATAATTTTGAAAAAGAGTAACAAAGTTAGAGACCATATACTACCTAATTTCAAAACATATTATTAAGCTACAGTAATCAAAACAGGATAGACACAGAATAGAATAGATAATCCAGAAATAAGCCCACACACTGTGGTCCGTTAATTTTTATCAAAGGCACCAATGCCAAAGGAAAGAATAAATGGTGCTGAAACAACTGGATATTCATAGGCAAGAAGAAAAAATAAGAACAAACTAAACCCTTACTTTACCTCACATATAAAAATGAACTCAAAATGGGTGACAGGCCTAAATGTAAGGCCTAAAATGTTTACAACTTCTAGATAAAAACACAGGAGAATTTCACTCACATGGAAGAAAGGGCCAAGGTCCTTTCTCTGGCCTACAACACCCACATGAGCTGTTCTGCCCATTTACTACTCTGATCTAGTCTAATGCACTTGGATTTGTGTCACCTGATGCCAACTCCTCTGGCCTCTTCTCATTCCTAGAACACACCAGGCACAGTTCTTCTTATGGGGCTTTGTGCTTGTTTGTTCCCCTGCTTAGCATGAGTTTCTCTCAGCTATCCACATGGGTAGATTCCTTCTTCAGGGCTCTGCTTTTATGGCACTTTCTTAAGAGAATGTCCTTAGCCACCCAATCTAAAATTTTAAACTCTTCCCCAAACTTCCTATCCCCATCCCTCTTTATTCTTCCCTTTTGCACTTATTAGCTGTCATACAATACAATTTATTTATTTATTTTTTTAAATATATCTTTATTGATTTCAGAGAGAGGAAGGGAGAGAGAGAGATAGAAACATCAATGATGAGAGAGTCATCGATTGGCTGCAGCTCGCAACCCGGGCATGTGCCCTGACCGGGAGTCGAACCCCGATCTCCTTGGATCCTAGGTCGATGCTCAACCGCTGAGCCACGTCAGGCTGGGCTATTTTTTATCTTATTATCTGCCCCATTAGAATCTAAGCTTCTTGATGACTGCTGTGTCCTCAAGTACCATGAACAGTAAAAAATATTTTTTGAAAGAATGTTGTCAAATATTTACTGTAAGATTTAAATATTCAATAGAATGTCTATTCAAGCAAAAATTGTTTTATGTAGCCTATAACCCATTCAAAATGAAAAAGTTTGGGTATTTTCTTTTTTCCATGCCACATCTTCAACTACAAAGACAAACTGAAATTTTTTAGCAGGCCACAGAGGAGTAACTTAAGAGATAACTTAATTAACAAATTCTCATTATTGCCACTCAAAAGTGATGAAATTTTGTACAACATAGGGAATATAATCAGTAACATTATAACTATGCATAGTACCAGGTGAATACTAGAAATATCAGGGAGAACACTTTGTAAAATATAGGACTAACCACTATGCTGTACACTTGAAACTAATGCAAAATAATACTGAATGTAAACTGTAATTAAAAAATAAAATTTAAATTTAAAAAAAAAACACAGTAGAAAATCTTTATGGTCTTGGGTTTGGCAAAAGTTTCTTAGTTATGACCAAAAGTAAGATGATAAAAGAAAAAATTTATGAATTGGACTTAATCAAAATTCCAAACTTTTTCTCTTCAAAAAACACCATTAAGAGAATGAAAAGACATACCACTGGCTGGGAGAAAATATTTTCAAAATATTTGAATCCAGAATATAGAAAGAATAGAACTCAATAATAAGACCAGCAACCAATTTTAAAAATGGGTAAAATATTTTTAAGAGATATTCACCAAAGAAGATATATAAATAACTAATATGTTAGAGTTATATGCAGATTTTTAAACTATGTGAGAGGTTGATGCTCTTAACCCCTCCACTGTTCAAGAGTCAACTGTACTCAACATTGTTAGTCATTAGGGACATACTACAAGTTAAAACAATGAGATACCACTACGGATACTCTAGAATGGCTATAATTTTAAAAGATTGATAACCTAAGTGTTGGCAAGAATGTGACGAAATTGGGAACCCTCATACAATGCTGGTGGGGGGAAAGGTAGTATAGTCACCACCGTGGGGAAGTTTGGCAGTTTCTTCAAAAGATAAACATACACAACTTCCATGCAAGATGGCAGCATATGTAAACACAGTACTCGCCTCCTCCTATAACCACATTAAAATTATAACTAAACTACAGAGCCATCATTGTTCAGAACCACCTGAAACCTGGCCAAATGGAAGTCCTACAACTAGGGAATTAAAAAAGCAGCCACATCCAGACTGGTAGGAGGTGCAGAGATACTGAACGTGCTCGTCCCATGCCCATGTGTGGCAGATAAAAATCAGGAGGGATATCTCTGCTGCAGAGGAACCCCTGAGAAGCAAGGGGTCCCAGCCCCACACATCACGCCCCCAATCCAGGGTTCCAGAACCAGGAAGAGAAGTCCCCACAACTTCTGGCTGTAAAAACCAGTGGGGATTGAGGCTGCGTGAGATGGAGGCTGCTGGAGTCCCAGGCAATACCTTTTAAACAGCCTGTACAGGGACTTACTCAAACTCCCTCTGAGCCAGCACAGAGAAAGCAGCTAAAAAGGAACCAGAGACATACAGGGAGAAACTGAATTGTCCTGCATCAGGGTGAAAGCTGGAGGGGCAGCTTTCTCCCAGAGAGAGGTTCTGGCAGAGGCCATTGTTCCTTTAACGAGCCTCTCCCACACAGAGCAGGCAGGAGGGCACCGTACCTGAGACTCCATCAACCTGGCTCACACTGTTTGCTGCACTCTGATTCCCTGAGGCCCCACCCCACCCAACTTTTGGCCCCACCCAAGCTGATTCCAGTGGCTTTTCCATATGAATGACATCTCAGTTCATGCTTCAGATTTCCCTAAAATCCCTCAAACAAGCAGCATCTGGCCTCAGTGCACCCCATACCTCTCTCTAAGTGGCCCCAGGCCCAGCACTAGAAGCAGCTGGCCTTGGTTCACAGGTTGGCCTTGCCTGAGCACCTCCAAGCCCAGTACAAGTAGGAGCCACCTGCAGATCACTATGTAGCTCAGGCAGGGTGGCCCTGGGCAAAACCTAGGCAGCAGCTGATCTTGTATGTCCCGGGAGGCCTCAGAGCCAGAGCACCTGGTGGACAGCTTTGGATCACATTGAAGCACCGCTAGCCAACCACCCTCACAAGCAACACACTCAAGGGGTGGACTCAGTGGGCACCAGAGCCCCACTGAAATAAATCCTGCTCTGTAGGGTGGGCCCCTGCACAGCTGAATCTCCACTGTGGTCATGGTCAGAGGTTGGTGATTGGCCGTTGGTGGTCGGCAGTGGAAGGTTGGAGGAAGGTGGTCGCAGCCAGTCCTTGCACCTGATTGACCTGGGGATAAATTCCTCCCATTGATGTGCCAACAGCAATCGACACTCAACTACAAGAGGAGGGTATACACAGCCCACACAGGGGGCATACCTCAAGTGCCCAGCTTGGGTGATCAGGAAGGCTGTGCCACTGAACCCAACAGAACACCTACTACATTAGGTCACTCTACCAAGCCTGGGAGATGTAGCAGTTCTACCTAATACATAAAAACAAACACAGGCTGCCAAAATGAGGAGACAAAGCAACACATCCCACACCAAAGAACAGAACAAAACACAAAAAAGAGAACTGAACAAAACAAGACAAGCAATCTACTAGATGCAGAGTTCAAAACACTGGTTATAAGGATGCTCAATGAACTTAATGAGAACCTCAAGAGCATAAAAAAGCACCAGTCAGAAATGAAGGATTCACTAACTTATATGAAGAATAATTTACATGGAATCAACAGTAGAGTAGATGAAGCCAAGAATCAAATAAGTGATCTGGAATATAAGAAAGCAAAAAACACCTAATCAGAAAAGAGAAAAAAAAAAAAGAATGAGGATAGTGTAAGGAGTCCCTGGGACAACTTCAAGCCTACCAACATTCATATCATGGGGGTGCTGAAAAAAGAAGAGAGAAAGCAATAAATTGAAAACCTATTTGAAAAAATGACAGAAAACTTCCCTAACCTGATAAAAAAATAGACATACAAGTCCAGGAAGTGCAGAGTCCCAAACAAGATGAACATCAAGACACATCATAATTAAAATGCCAAATATTAAAGACAAAGAGAGAATCTTAAAAGCAGCAAGAGAAAAGCAATTAGTGACTTACAAGGGAGCTCTCATAAGACTGTCAGTTGATTTCTCAACAGAAACAGGCCAGAAGGGATTGGCAAGAAATATTCAGTGATGAAAAGCAAAAACCTACAACCAAGATTACTCTAACCAGCAAAACTATCATTTAGATTTGAAGGACAGATAAAGAGCTTCTCAGACAAGAAAAAGCTAAAGGAGTTCATCACTACCAAACCAATAGTATATGAAATATTAAAGGGTCTTCTTTAAGAAGAAAAAAGATAAAAAATATATGAGCAATAAATACATACCTATCAACAATTTAATCTAAAAAACAAAATAAACAAACAAGCAGAACAGAAACAGACTCTTAGATACAGAGAACATTTTGACAGTTACCAGATAGGAGGGGGGTTGAGGAAATAGGTGAAAAAGGTGAAGGGATTAAGAAGTACAAATTGGTTGTTACAGAATAGTCATGGGGATGTAAAATACAGCATAGGGAATATAGTCTATAATGTTCTAATAACTATGTATGGTGTCAATGGGTACAATGGCAGATTTATGGGGGTGATCACTTAGTAAGTTATGTAGTGTCTAATTACTGGGGTTTTCATCTGAAACTAACATAATAATGTATGCCAACTGTCACTGAAAAATTAAAAATTATTTTAAAATGGGGAAAAATGGCTAAATAAGTTGCTATCTACTCTCCCAATTAATTATAATACAGACTTCATAAATAAAAAATAAACACACATTGACCATATGACCTAGCAATTCCACTCCTAGGTATCTACCCAAGAGAAACCTTAAAACGTATCTGTACAAAGACTTAAACAGAATGTTCGTAGCAGCATTTTTTATAGTAGCCAAAAAATTGGAGCAATCCAGATATCCATCGAAGATGATAAAAGGTGGTACATTCATACAATGAAATACAACTCAGCAATAAAAAGGAACAAACTACTGATAGATGCTACAACATGAATGACCCGCTAAAACATTATGCTAAGTAAAAGAAAACAAATAAGAAAGGTGAGATAGTGTATGATTTGATTTATATGAAATTCTGAGTAAAGTTGAAATCATAAACAGAAAGCAGGTCAACTGCTACCTGGCAGTGGGGCTGCAAATGGACATAAAGGAACTTTTTGGGGTGATAAACTGAATTGTGGTGATAGTTTCACAACTGTATGTATTTACTACAACTCATCAAACTATAATTGCAATGGGCGAATTTAAGGGGTACTAATAATATCTCGATAAAGTTGTTTTTTAAAAAAGTGAACTATATAAAGTACTCACCATTGTAGCCTTCAAGAACAGAATCAATAATAGGTCTTGCAGTTAAGTTATAAACATCAAGTTGTTTACTCTCTGGTCCAAAAACTGTATCAAAAGTAAATGTCTTTGGAGGTTCATTGGAAGAATCAGTCTTATGTACAGTGATAGTTCCCCTCATCTCATCCACACTGACAGCCTGTTTGTAGCACATGGACTTCTCTCTCTCATTGAGGGGTCGGCACCTAACAACCACCTTCACATTATCACAGCTTTCTGGCTTCTCTGATTTATTGATCTGGTGGAGAAAATATTTACAAATAATGAAAAGAACATTAACTTTTACCTTCAACAGATTAAATTTAAAATTTGAAAAAAGTTACTTTGCCATCTCAGTGCCTTGCACATATAAAGTACTCCAAAAATATGTTAAATGCAATTAAAGACCTTACAACTACATCGAAAAAGCTTACTAAAAGATATATAAAAAAAGAAAAGTTTCTTTTACAGTACAAATGAGGGGAGGGAAATCTAATTTACATTTATAGTAAATGCTATTCAAGCTAAAATTAATCAGTATATNTCTCCAAAAATATCTGTTAAATGCAATTAAAGACCTTACAACTACATCGAAAAAGCTTACTAAAAGATATATAAAAAAAGAAAAGTTTCTTTTACAGTACAAATGAGGGGAGGGAAATCTAATTTACATTTATAGTAAATGCTATTCAAGCTAAAATTAATCAGTATATTATTGTCATTCTGCACGAAAGTCTCAGACTTCCTGAGTTTCCTACCTGTAGGAAAACACATGTGAACATAATTAACAACTTTAATCAAGAATATAGTAAGTAGTAAGTTCTGTGTTCTCCTGAGACTTATTTTTTATAATGAATTAACAGAGTTTTTCATCATATAATACATCCATATATAATCTATCTTCTTTATAAAAGACAAAAACAAATGCAAGACAGAAGGGAAGTCCAATGGCAGCAGAGAAAAATGTTTAGGTATTACTACTGTTTCAGATACTCTTCCAAGCATTAGAGAACCACAAGCCACTGTCATTGACAAGGAACAGATTATATCAATACAATATACTTCTCTCCATCTTTCTACGTTCACCACCTTAGTCTAAGCCACCATTATTTCATCTTGGATTATAAGAGACTCTTAACTATACTCCTGCATCCAATTAGGTTCCACTACAGTCTGTTCTCTACATGGCAGTCAGCTTTAACATAAATCTAATTATGTCACTCCCCTACGTAAAGCTCTTCAATAGTTTCCCACAGATCTTAGGATAAAAATCAAAATCCTTAAGGTCAGATCTGGCTCTGGCCCATGTCTACTTCTGTCTTATTTCACAAGTTATTCTGCTTGGCTTCCTTAGCCACAGCCACACTGGCTTTCTTTTAGGCCCTTTTTTGTCACCATGATCCTTCTCACCACAGGCCTTTTTATGTGTTGTTCCTTCTGTCTGGAACATTCCTTGCTCTCCTCTTCATTTATTCTGCAGATATCAGCTCAACAGCCACTTCATCTGGGCAGACTTCCCTGAGTAGGTCAAATCCTTGTACAGGCATACCTCGGAATACTGCAGGTTCGGTTCCACATCACAATAATAAATTGAGTAATGTAAAAAAGAGAGTACTGCAATAGAGTCATAATCTTTTTGCTGGTATAAGGCCTTGCCTTCAATTTGTAAAAAACAAAACATCTGTGAAGCGCAATAAAGCAAAGAGCAATAAAATAAGGTGTGCCTGTAAAGGCCCTGAAAGTACCCTTCTCACTCCTTCTACATCTGCTTACAATTCCACTTTTGATTGCTCATTATTTAACATCTTTCGGTCTACACCAGAGGTTGAAAATAGGTAGTCAAGGGGCTGAATTCAACCCACAGATGTCCTTTGTTTGGCTCACAGTATTTAAAAATCTTGAATTTGTTGCTAAAATTGAAAAATTTCACAAAATAACAATTTCAGATTCTTTTGAAAAAATAGATGACCTGGCATCTGTAAGCCAGCATTCCTACATGGCAACACTTTACAATCAACCAGAATCTACTTCTATCTATTGTATGCCACCAACTGCCCTTATTGATGTTAAGTGTCTTGTCTCTGTAAACATGTATGGTTTTCACCTCCACCCAAGAAGGCAAGCTTCTCTCTTCCCAAGTTCAAGAACCAGGAGGTTTTGCTCAGTATTGTATCTCCAGTGACCAACATGTAGTTGGTGCCCAATATTTGTTGAATGAATTAATAAACAATTTGAAAGCAGCGACAAAGAACAAATATTGAGTAATTTAATGCTAAGTGTCAAGCACTGTCCTTTAATTCTCCTGAGCAGTATCCTATTTCATCCTGATAACAACCCCATGAGGAAAAGTTAAATGATGTGGGAACGAAGGGCCCAGAAAGAGTAAATAATTGTCGAAGGCCTCCTAACAAGCAAATAACTGGCCACAGCTCAGGTGTTCTCCATGGCCCTATACTGGACTACGGTCACCCCTTTACTAAGCGCACAAGACAACATACCACCACCCACTCCCCACCCCCTAACACACAAAGACACCTACGGGTTACATTCTTGCACTGTAAGCTAAGGCGACACAAGAGAAATGACAGCTCGAGGAAGGGGCCTGGAGTAGGGGCAGGCGGCCCTCGCTCTGCTGCCTTCCGGCGCCTGGCTCCGCCGCCTCGAGGTGCTGCGCGCGCGGAGCATCCAAAACCGACCCTCGGAGGCCGCCCGCAGACGCCCAGCCCAGTGGGCAGGGCCGAAAGCGAGCGCGCATCCTCGGGCACAGCGCCTTTCCATCAGGCGGCGCTCTGCGGGATGCAGCGGCGGCGACGGTGGCAGAGCTTGCCCCGGTCCCTC